AACGGGCATCACCACATGAATAACCATTCGGCACCACTTCCGCTGGTTGATTTAGTAACTTTCAGAGATTTCAGATTGGCCTACCACACAGCGGAATATCATGGATGCTTATCGACAAATAAATTCTTTGCCTTGTCAAATACAACTACTGACTGCCTCCTCCCGTTCTCGAGTTCCTGAACAGGGGTTCGCGGGTCATAATAAATAGCCTGACGTAGTAATGCCACAGACACTAACTCACAACTGTCGCACTGTTGTTGAGTTCGAGTTCTCGACCGAAAAGCTGACGCCTATAAAAGGGATATAGATGTGCACCAAACTGTGGCACACTCTGGTGGCCCCCACTGCTGGCACCCTCGTCGAGAGTGTTGACAAATTTATGAGCTTGTTTTGCTTTTTCGCAATTTTTGTTTGGCTGATTGAAAGTTTTCCTTATTTTACTGTCGGGTAAATTGATGACCATTCAAGAGAAAGTGAGACCCACCAGGGGTCGGCTAGACAGCTTAATCGATTTGGTTCTATGTACACGTACATATATACATATATTTATATTTTTATTAGTTTGATAGATTCGCGTAACTAAATAAAAGCTTTTGAAATGTTTCCTGCTGCTGCATTTCCATCCACAAGAGAGTGTCCCCATCCCGAAGGGATAACTCGAGTTATCCACCGATCACCCGATCCAGGAAATTATGTGGTGTCCTGGGCTCCTTTAAATTTAGAACGCGCTGCATCTTATATACTATGTTCTGTATGATACATAGAACCTGACGGAACCTCAGCGAACATCAAGATATTTAGTTTCGTTTCGTTTATAGGCGCTGCATAAATTAATTTACTTAAAAACACGGCCCGAGTCGCGCTGCAACGCCTCCGACTTGGTTTTGCGTCCTCTGTAATCGATGATAAACTTCGTTTTAAAAACGTAGTCCATGTCATGAATCCATTATAATCTGTTTTGGGGGCTGAAGCCATCATTTTTGAAACGGCGTTCATATGTCTAAAGGACTAGCGCCCGCTCCTCTTTCGTAACAGGTTGAATGTACAGTTGAAAGTACTTCGGAAGTGACTTTGGATATGTAGACGCATTGTCATTTTATACGGCAGCCTAACCAAGAAGTCGAGTAAGTACTGATCCACGTGTGTTTTTGTCCCCCGTGACTGAGCGTGAGCTATTCCATTCCATGGAAGACACACTAATCCTTTGATGGCTATGAAAAATTAGTTTATTGCTTTCAAAATATATGAACATACGTATTGCTTTAGTTTCATTGATACTTAATCGAATACATTGCAGGTCTATTGAAATATTATGGTTGGACTTGTACAAATTTGGAATACACATATGTAGATAGCTTACGCGCGATAGAAGGGTTGATTGCGGATCATTTTAATTTTCATTTCCATTTCAATTCAATCTGGAATATATGAATTCCTAATTGCGCATAGCCAGGCAATTGGTAACCTCGCTGCTTTGACGACAAGTTTTCAGCGCACGATCGAACCACTGTCCTTGAGGACAGTTCTGGCGCCTTGATCTCTGCCCTTCGCACACGTAGTAGTGGCGACAATGGCGTCTGTCGGCCAGATAGGTACCTTCGTCCTTGCCGCGACAGTCACGCCGGGAGATCAGAATCTGAACAAGAGCCACGTTCTCGGTATTTTCGTTGTTGTCGGTGTTGGTATTTGCTTTTTTGCCAGTGTTGGTATTTGCGTTTTTGCCAGTATTAGTATTTGCGTTGTTGCCGGCGTTGCCTTTATCGTGTGAGGCGGGGGCCTTCGTTGGGGCTGGTGTGGGGCACGGAGTGGTGGTTGGTTCCGTACATGGAGTCGGTGTTGTTGTACATGGTGGCCTTGTTGTTGTACAAGGGTGTCTTGTTGTTGTACATGGGGGCCTTGGTGTAGTACAGAGGGGCCTTGTTGTTGTACATGGGGGTCTTGGTGTAGTACAGGGTGGCCTTGTTGTTGTACATGGGGGCCTTGGTGTAGTACAGGGTGGCCTTGTTGTTGTGCAAGGCGGCCTTGGTGTGGTGCAGGGTGGCCTTGTTGTTGTACATGGGGGCCTTGGTGTAGTACAGGGTGGCCTTGTTGTTGTACATGGCGGCCTTGGTGTGGTACAGGGTGGCCTTGTTGTTGTGCATGGCGGCCTTGGTGTGGTGCAGGGTGGCCTTGTTGTTGTACATGGAGGCCTTGGTGTAGTACAGGGTGCTGGTGTTGTTGTACATGGAGGCCTTGGTGTAGTACAGGGTGGCCTTGTTGTTGTACATGGGGGTCTTGGTGTAGTACAGGGTGGTGTTGTTGTTGTACATGGAGGCCTTGGTGTAGTACAGGGTGGCTTTGTTGTTGTACATGGGGGTCTTGGTGTAGTACAGGGTGGTGGTGTTGTTGTACATGGAGGCCTTGGTGTACTACAGGGTGGCGTTGTTGTTGTACATGGGGGACTTGGTGGCTCGTCGCTAGGAGGAGGGTGAGCACCCACCGATTCCGCGCTGACACACAACGCAATCAAAACTCCAATCAGCAGCAAGTTGACTGCATGAAAGAGGAATACCATCAGAGTCGATTATCAGTGGGTGCTTCCGGGAGCTACTCACAAACTCTCATTTTAGAACTTTTTCCGTGTTAATGGTTTCCCTATTGAAGTTTCTTCTTCTCCGCCGAGTGATAATGGTTGGACTGCATTGGCAACGCCCTCTGGTGGGTCTTATATACCAGTTTCCGCAAGCTTTGATCTTATCGCTGACCGGAGGCACTTGAACGGTGTCAAGTGGTACATGGTATATGGTCCACGATCTGCCCGGTACAATCAACAAATTAAGCGAAATACTTGCAGTTCAGATATGTAAGGATTCGTTGGACTAGACAAGCAGCAGCGAAAGATAAAGAATATTCGAAGTGAATTGTTTTTCTCACTTCGTAGATACCACAGCCCCACAAAAAACGAGGGGGAACGTTGTGAGTTGCTGCGGACACCGCAACTCTACGGTTATACCCGATACTAAGTTAGTATGGCTCTCCTCCGGCAGACGCCGCTAATATTTAACGACACGACAAAGAGTGCGTGCGAGAGAGACAGAAAATCAGTCTGAGCGAGACGTCGGGCGCTGCGTAGCCACTGCAAATTGATTTGTTCCTTTTGGCTAAAAAAATGGTCTGATCTGATCCAGATTCAGCAATCTAATAGATATGGTCATTATCTATGATTCTGCGTTTTTAGTTTTCTCAAATCTGCAATATTGTGGATGCAACAGATTTTCGTCCTTTGTGGGGGCGGATGGGGGTGGGGCGAAATTCTGAGATATACGTTTTATAGTGACATCTTAAAGGAGTGTGTGCACCAAATTTGGTTACTCTAGCCTTAATAGTCTCTGAGATTTGTGGTTGCCTCAGATTTTCGTCCTTTGCGGGGGCGGAAGGGGGTGTGGCGAAATTTGGACAGGAAACGGTCAAGGTCCGATATCACAGGAGTGTGGATACCAAATTTGGTTGCTCTGGCTTTTATAGGTTCTGAGATCCTTGAACTCATATTTTGCAATTGGCAAAACCGACCATGAAACCTGTGTGTTAGAGTGAGACAGAGCGAGAAAGAGTGAAATTGTTTTCGTGATTCTGGCTGTAATAATTATACGATCTGGTTCAGATTTTGCACTCTAGAAGATATAGTCAGCTTCTACGATTCTGCGTTTTTAGTTTTCTCGTATCGTCGAAATTGTGGATCCCACAGATTTTCGCCCTTTGTGGGGGCGGAAGTGGGCGGGGCAAAGTTTTGAAATATTTTTGGAGCAGTGACATATCACAGAAGTCTGGATCCAAAACATCGTTGCTCTAGCTCTTATAGTCTTTGAGCATTAGGCGCTGAAGGGGACGGACAGACGGACAGACGGACAGACGGACGGACGGACAGACAGACAGGGCTCAATCGACTCGGCTATTGATGCTGATCAAGAATATATATACTTTATAGGGTCGGAAACGATTCCTTCTGGACGTTACACACATCCACTTTTACCACAAATCTAATATACCCCAATACTCATTTTGAGTATCGGGTATAAAAAGTGTCGTGCGCGCCTGTCCAGAGCATCATATCCCTATGTATTTTGAGGACCTCAACACGAATCCGAGGTAAGATTTGCTCCACGTCAGGTTTTTTTTCTTACCTCAAAAAACCAATCTGGTCGAAACATGGTGGAAACTGATTACGGTCGCTGATTACGAATTTGATGTTAGTTTTCGTGTTTCGAGATGTATCGAGTTGTTTTCTCTTAAAAAGATCTATTCAAAGGTGGAAAATTTAGATGTAGCAAGGCCGGGGAGCTATTCGGCTTAAGTAAATCCGGCCTTGTTTGATCCGCCATTTTGAATTTTGGAAAGCTGATTTAAAAATCGTAATTATTAACCCCGAAAGCCCCGGAGTGACGAGTTTCAAGCAAATCCTCTATTTGAGGTTAGAAAAAGAAACCTGACGTCATGGAGAAAAAGTGACCCTGGATTCGTGTTCAGGCCACAAAATACATAGGGATATGGTCAGCAGCACGACAATTTTTTTGTTTTAAGGGCTGTGTAATCTTTGCTGACTGCTGTGTTATTCCCATTGTGGAACATCTTGCCGAAGAAATCTGAAAATGGGCTGACTTTGTTGTGCCAACTTTCTAATTGTGGCTAACAGTCGAATATTATTCTTTCAAAAGCTTAGTCCATGTCATAAATCTATTATCGTCTGTGTTGGGGGCAGAAGCAATCATTTTTGAAACGGCGGTCATATGTCCAAAGGACTAGCGGCCGCTTCTCTTTGGTAACAGGTTGAATGTACAGTTGAAAGTACTTTGTAGGTGACTTTGGATATGTAGATGCATTGTCATTTTATACGGCAGCCTAACCAAGAAGTCGAGTAAGTACTGATCCACGTGTGTTTTTGTCCCCCGTGACTGAGCGTGAGCTATTCCATTTCATGGAAGACACACTAATCCTTTGATGGCTATGAAAAATTAGTTTATTGCTTTCAAAATATATGAACATACGTATTGCTTTAGTTTCATTGATACTTAATCGAATACATTGCAGGTCTATTGAAATATTATGGTTGGACTTGTACAAATTTGGAATACACATATGTAGATAGCTTACGCGCGATAGAAGGGTTGATTGCGGATCATTTTAATTTTCATTTCCATTTCAATTCAATCTGGAATATCTGAATTCCTAATTGCGCATAGCCAGGCAATTGGTAACCTCGCTGCTTTGACGACAAGTTTTCAGCGCACGATCGAACCACTGTCCTTGAGGACAGTTCTGGCGCCTTGATCTCTGCCCTTCGCACACGTAGTAGTGGCGACAATGGCGTCTGTCGGCCAGATAGGTACCTTCGTCCTTGCCGCGACAGTCACGCCGGGAGATCAGAATCTGAACAAGAGCCACGTTCCCGGTATTTTGGTTGTTGTCGGTGTTGGTATTTGCTTTGTTGCCAGTGTTGGTATTTGCGTTGTTGACAGTATTGGTATGTGCGTTGTTGCCGGTGTTGCCTTTATCGTGTGAGGCAGGGTCCTTCGTTGGGGCTGGTGTGGGGCACGGAGTGGTGGTTGGTTCCGTACATGGAGTCGGTGTTGTTGTACATGGTGGCCTTGTTGTTGTACAAGGGGGTCTTGTTGTAGTACAGGGTGGCCTTGTTGTGGTACATGGGGGCCTTGTTGAAGTACAGGGTGGCCTTGTTGTTGTACATGGTTGGCGTGTTGTAGTCGTCGTTGTAGTTGCTGTTTCACAGGATGTCGTCGTTGTAGTAGTGGTTTTTGTTGTGGATGTTGTTGTGTCACAAGGTGTAGTAGTTGTTGTGGTTGTTGTTGTAGTCGTTGTTGTGTCACAGGCTGTTGTTGTAGTGGTTGATGTCGTCGTTGTGGTAGTAGTGGTTGGCGTCGTAGCTGTTGTTGTTGGCGTTGTGTCACAGGGTGTTGTTGTAGTGGTTGTCGTCGTAGTTGTTGTTGTTGTAGTGGTTGTTGCCGTCGTTGTTGTAGTAGTGGTTGTCGTCGTAGTTGTTGTCGGTGTTGTTGTAGTTGTGGTTGCTGTTGTCGTTGTCGTTGTTGGTGTAGTAGTTGTTGTTGTCGTAGGTGTTGTTGTCGTAGTTGTCGTTGTTGTAGTGGTTGTTGTCGTAGGTGTTGTTGTCGTTGTTGGTGTTGTAGTGGTTGTTGTCGTAGGCGTTGTTGTTGTGGGTGTGTCACAGGGTGTTGTTGTAGTTGTGGCTGTTGTTGTCGTTGTCGTTGTTGGTGTAGTAGTTGTTGTTGTCGTAGTTGTTGTTGTTGTCGTAGTTGTCGTTGTCGTTGTTGGTGTTGTAGTGGTTGTTGTCGTAGGTGTTGTTGTTGTGGGTGTGTCACAGGGTGTTGTTGTAGTTGTGGTTGTTGTTGTCGTTGTCGTTGTTGGTGTAGTAGTTGTTGTTGTCGTAGTTGTTGTTGTTGTCGTAGTTGTCGTTGTCGTTGTTGTAGTGGTTGTTGTCGTCGTTGTTGTTGTCGTTGTTGGTGTAGTAGTGGTTGTTGTTGTGGGTGTGTCACAGGATGGTGTTGTAGCTGTGGTTGTTGTTGTCGTTGTCGTTGTTGTAGTGGTTGTTGTCGTTGTTGGTGTCGTTCTTGGTGTAGTAGTGGTTGTTGTCGGAGGTGTTGTTGTTGTGGGTGTGTCACAGGGTGTTGTTGTAGTGGTTGTCGCTGTCGTCGTTGTTGTGGTTGTCGCCGTAGTAGTTGTCGTTGTTGTCGTTGTGGTGGGGGTTGTGTCGCAGGGCGTTGTTGTCGTTGTGGTGGGGGTTGTGTCACAGGGCGTTGTTGTCGTCGTTGTTGTTGTAGTAGTGGTTGTCGTTGTAGTTGTTGTTGTTGTGGTTGTGGTTGTCGACGTTGTTGTGGCTGTCGTCGTTGTTGTGGCTGTGTCACAGGTACATTCTGTGGTAGTGGTTGTTGTGGTTGTCGTCGTTGTAGTTGTCGTTGTTGGTGTAGTAGTGGTTGTTGTCGTAGGTGTTGTTGTTGTGGGTGTGTCACAGGGTGTTGCTGTAGTTGTGGTTGTTGTTGTCGTTGTCGTTGTTGGTGTAGTAGTTGTTGTTGTCGTAGCTGTTGTTGTTGTCGTAGTTGTCGTTGTTGTAGTGGTTGTTGTCGTCGTTGTTGTTGTCGTTGTTGGTGTAGTAGTTGTTGTTGTCGTAGCTGTTGTTGTTGTCGTAGTTGTCGTTGTCGTTGTTGTAGTGGTTGTTGTCGTCGTTGTTGTTGTCGTTGTTGGTGTAGTAGTGGTTGTTGTTGTTGTGGGTGTGTCACAGGGTGTTGATGTAGTTGTGGTTGTTGTTGTCGTTGTCGTTGTTGGCGTAGTAGTTGTTGTTGTCGTAGTTGTTGTCGTCGTCGTTGTTGTTGTCGTTGTTGGTGTAGTAGTGGTTGTTGTTGTTGTGGGTGCGTCACAGGGTCTTGTTGTAGTGGTTGTCGTTGTCGTCGTTGTTGTGGTTGTCGTCGTAGTAGTTGTCGTTGTTGTCGTTGTGGTGGGGGTTGTGTCACAGGGCGTTGTTGTCGTCGTTGTTGTCGTCGTTGTTGTTGTTGTTGTCGTCGTTGTTGTTGTTGTTGTTGTTGTTGTCGTTGTTGTTGTAGTAGTGGTTATCGTTGTAGTTGTTGTTGTTGTGGTTGTCGTCGTTGTTGTGGCTGTGTCACAGGTACTTTCTGTGGTAGTGGTCGTTGTGGTTGTCGTAGTAGTTGTTGTCGTTGTTGTGGTGGTTGGCTCGCAGGGTGTTGCTGTTATTGTAGTGGTTGTTGTCGTCGTTGGTGTAGTAGTGGTTGTCGTCGTAGTTGTTGTCGTAGTAGTTGTTGTGGTTGTTGTGGTAGGCGTCGTTGTTGTGGTTGTCGTCGTAGTTGTTGTGGTTGTTGTTGTCGTTGTAGTAGTTGTTGTCGTTGTGTCACAGGGTGTTGTCGTTGTGGTGGTTGTTGGTTCAGAGGGTGTCGTTGTTGTAGTTGATCGTGCACAGGGGGGTGTTTCCTTAGTTGTGGTGCATGGCGTTTCCGTTGTGGTAGTTCTTTTACAGGGTGGATCGAGGGTGGTTGTTGTCGTCGCCCGTTCACAGGGTGGCCTCGTCGTGGTGTCACATGGCTCGGGCCTGGGCTCGTCCTTAGGAGGGTGAGCACTCACCGATTCCGCGCTGGCACACAACGCAATCAAAACTCCAATCAGCAGCAAGTTGACTGCATGAAAGTGGAATACAATCAGAGTCGGTTATCAGCGGGTGCTTCCGGGAGCTACTCACAAACTCTCATTTTAGAACTTTTTCCGTGTTAATGGTTCCTCTACTGAAGTTTCTTCTTCTCCGCCGAGAGATAATGGTTGGACTGCATTGGCAACGCCATCTGGTGGGGCTTATATACCAGTTTTCTCAGGCTGTGATCTTATCGCTGACCGGAGGCTCTTGAAAATTGTCAAGTGGTACATGGTCCACGATCTGGCGGGTGCATTCAACAAATTAAGCGAAATACTTGCAGTTCAGATATGTAAGGATTCGTGGGACTACACAAACAGCAGCGAAAGATAAAGAATATTCGACGTGAACTGTTCTCCACACCCCATAGATAATGGTTGCTAACTGCTGTGTCAGTCCCATTGTGCAACATCTTGTCCGCACTCCGAAGAAATCTTGAAATGGGATGTAGATCGAATTTTTCCCTTTGGAGCCCCATATTTGCTGCTGCGTTCGAGCTGTGTGGGTCTGTCAATGGTATTGACATTTGGCTTTGGTAATTTGGCATGCTGTACGCAGTCTGTAAAATAGTTGAAATTGCCTGTTAACTCATTCCGCAGTCGGCCCAATATCCCTCTGCTGAACCCATCCCGGCCAATAGAAGTGCAAACAAGAGATTTCGGTTTATGGTCTCGCCCGGAAGTGTTAGGCCAATGGCAAAGTGGCCAGAACTGGACGGACTGGAGTGGACAAGTGTCGGCCATTTGGCAGCCGATAAAAATGGCAAAGAGCCTAAGGGGCATGTATGTGTGGGTGTTTTCTGTATGTGTAATAATTTTCCAGCCTTCTACACTCGCTCAACCCTCCGCCTCATTGTCACTCCTTCTACAATCATCGGGAGGGAAAAGCAGGAAAAACAAAAAGGCAGCCAGCCGCCAGAAAGGACCCGTGTATCCGTGGTATTGTCCCGGACAGGGAGTCCTTGTTGGACAGTTGGCAAAACTTTTGTAATTAAATATGGTTGTTGCAGTTAAGATTTATGAGCGAATTTTATACCTGATACCCAGCCAAACCAAGCCAGATATAGGCGGGTGGCAACGACTATGTAACTATTTCGTTATAGAAACATCTCAGTAAAAATTGAGGCGTCAAACATCTGACAATCGTTTCATATATTAATAGCTATTAAATTATTACATTATAACTTGTACGACAATATTTAACATAGAATTTGTGCTTATTAAAGGGTATACATGCTTCACCATCACCGAGGGTGTCATGCACAAAGGAAAACAAAATTGCAACGAAAAAAATCTGGACAGCCTTCAAGCGCTCAGCCCATTGAGTCCTCGCCCCCTGATCGTAAATAATTATTTATTTAAAGCGTAAACCATTCTCAAGCGCCGCAAATAAATAGAATCAATTGTTGTCACATTTTAAAATTTATTATGCACACATCTATTTTTGGACATCTTTTAGCAGCATGGCTGTGCCCGGCTAGAGTTTGATCGAAGATCCTTTCAGTAATATCATATAAAATGGGTTCGATTGGGGCTTAAATTAGGCAAGATTGGATAAGGATGGATTTCGGGTTAATTTTGACCACGTGGAACGGTTTTCAATTGATGTTCGATACAATTTGGGTTGGCTTTGTTGCATATGACTAATATGCCATACAGGCATATATGTATATGTAACCCTATTCTGTTCGGTGGTGTTAAACTCGATTGATGCGGTTCATTGCGTCCTGTTTCAGTCACTTAGCCCCCCACCACCCAATCCAATACCCGCATTGGAGCCCACCTTCGCCTACACAACTTTGCCATTTGCCATTTGAAATTACTCATACGCAGCATGTGATGTGAATATTAAAAAGGGGGAAAAGTTTATGATAAATTCACCTCTCCATGTCTTGTTCGTATATAGTAGAAGAGATAAGTATGGATGTACAGTATATCGAATACTTTGTTGGTGAAACAATCTCAGATTATGCATGAGATTTAGCCGGTTGAGCCAGATGGGGATATGCTCAGAATAGTTGAGGAAACTAGCTCAGATTATGAATGAATCACTTTCGCCACAAGAAGTTGAGCAAGACTCTCGCCGAACCCCGATAAAGTTTGCCGGCAAATGGTGTTGAATACTTTAAGGAGTTTGCCTATAAACACCGTCTCAAGATCATTTGTGGTTGCGTGGGAGTTTAAGCATCTTTCTGGTGGCTACGGGATGACCCTAAGAGAGTGTGCGATAGCAACTGCCTGGCACTTTACCGTTTTGAGAGTCTTTTTAAAATTGTGTCCAAAGTTAAATCAACAATGGTTAAAAATCCATTTCGAGCCACTCAGACTGCCGAGAGCAGCAAATACTTTACCTCAATTATGTTAACTCCTTCAGCCTCGCAGCGAGGCTTACCTTTTGTTAGGTTTTTCGGGACTCTTTCACTTATCTTCCGGCCATCGAAATGAATTAGTCCAACAACATAAATTAAGCACTTAAATGTTGTAAACTTTTGTCCCTGGCAAACTTTTTTGGGAGTCCTAGCTCCATAAATGATGACCCCCGGAGATGGAGCCGGCTTGGGGCTACAAAAGACAAACAGAGACACGGCTCAATGGAAGACCCTTTCTGCCATTTCGCCCTACACTCAACACACATGCACACAGATGAAGAATGGGAAATTAAATTAAACACACACACACATGGCTGACAAGTGTGTGTGCGTGTGTTTGTGTAGGCAAGGATTGGATTTAAGGATTGTTTGTCCAAGGACATTGTATCAACAATTTTCACTGGCACTGTGTGGCAGCGTGTCTGTGCTACGAGGCATTGTAAAACTCATTAGTGAAGTGACCGGAAATCTTATGAAATCTACAAAAAAAAAAACAAATAAAAAAAGGGAAAACAGGAAAAACCGAGAAGAAAAACACTACAAGCTAAAAAGCTTGGCACATCCTGGCGGCTTGGGACGGCTTGCGATGGCTTGGTATGGCTTGGGGGGCCAGCCTGTGACAGGCCGGAGCACTCATGCATGTACTTCAATTTTTCAGCAGAAATGAGTGCACATTTGACAAAACACACACACACACACACACACACTGTAACGCTCTCGCACCTTCGGTGTCGGGCCAGTGGAGCCCTAGGAGCCGTAGAAGCCGTAGGAGCCCCGTAGCCCCAAGCCCCTAGCCGGCCAAATCCCTACAGGACATATGTCCCTGCCTCTCTCTTACATGTTTTTTTATCAGCTTCTTTCTGCCGCCCGTGCCGGCCCCCCAAAACTTCAGGCACACGAATATATGAAAACTTTGCACAAATATATTTGTCGGTGTGCGTGACTGCGTATCTGTGTGCTTTTATATATGGGTGTGTGCTGTCTATGGTTGCCTAATTCAAGCTCATATTTTATAGCACGGCAACAAAATCACTGCATCGGACGCAGCTACACAATTTTTGTGCCACGACAACAGAATAAACCGACAACAACTACAAAAAAAACCTGGGTAAAACACCTGAAAAAAAATCTGTAAACAAGACAGGGCTGGACAGGGAACAAACTACGGAAAAACTACGTGAGTCCCTGCCATAATGGCGATGTGTGGAACAGAACAGCTCAAGACTTACTCAGTCGAAGAACTTTTTCGGGTTTGAGCTATTCGCATAATGAATATATAGTCTCGCCAGATGGTAAAAGGGATTGAATAGGAAACTTTTGCCATTATTATATACATTTTCTTTCCCCTGTCTTCAATCAAAGTGAATGTCGCAAAGTCAATATATAAACAAAACAATATTAATATTACATATACCTATTTCAATTAATAAATAATAATTTAAATGGAATAAATTATTCATTTATTATTATTATAATTTATTATTCAAATACAGATGGAATTCACCAGGAATTCAAATATGCAAGTCAATTATTTGACACAAAATATATACATATGTAAAAATATATATTTATTTGTGTAATTAAGTTCAAAAACCTAATCTTTTTAATGATAACTATGTATGTATACATTTACTGTATGCTGGATGATTTTAGTCATATATTAACTTTGATGATTGGCTGTGCTATGATGAGATGATGAGATGTGCATTTGCGATTGATTTAACAAATGTGCGTAAACATATTTTTTATATGGGACTCTGTGTGCTATATCTTTTGAATAACAGAATTTTAGTCTATAGGTTTAATAACTATATACATATGTACATACGAGTACATGAAAAAACTCTACTCAGACTAAACCCATTGTATGGATAATATTTGAGAAGAACAAAAAGGGAATGAGCAAAACTGTTTCAGCCCATTAAAAACTTTGTTGCCCATAAATCAATACCGCCAGAGTTTTGTTCGTTCAAAAATGGATTTTTCCGCCGTGTAAATTTGTAGCAATTAATTTTATAGGTCTTAAATAATTCAAACATTTCTAAAAACTCGTACAATTTTTTAAAACCAATTTTTATTGAAAGAACCCATTCAAATTGATCGTTAATATGGTGTTCCATTTTTTTTTTTTACTATATGCTTTTTGAGACATTTTCTCACAAAGCCTTGTTTTCCGGTTTATAATATACATTCCGGTAATAATTGCTGGTCTATTAATTATTATTATCATATCGAGTTCTAGGCAAAAGAAAAAAAATATGTATCTTTCTAAAGAATAGCTTTTTCAGGGGTACACAAAAATCCAGAAATAGAGAATCAATCAGTCTAACACCATCGCTCTGAAGCCCTAAAGTATATAGTATTTAAAAACATTTTCTTTACCTTTGGTATTCACATTTATTATTAGGAGTCATTCCAAGGAGTTCTTCCGAACTTTCGCTCAAAATTGCAATAAAAGGAGCACTGCAGAAAAACATAAAAAAAATGATTCTGTTTTTGTATGTACATACATATGTATGTATGTATGTATATAGTATTGTATATAAATTCGAGCACACTTTTGTATGGCAAAAGTTTGAAGAACTTTTCCTTCTCCCTCGCCTTCCGCCTGAAAAGCAACTCCCGCCCATCCAGCCTTGCAAATTGTTGAATAATTGCAGTTGTTCCTTTGGCTCGGCTCTGGTTGTTGTTTTTGTTGCTTTTGTTGCTGTTGTCGTGTGGCAGCTTTAACATTTTCCACATCGGCATCGCGTTGTTTTCGCATACAAATTTCCAAGTTTTTTACTTGTATTTTGTGTTTGCTCTTTATTTATGTATACTATTAGGCACGGTACCCGTGGGGTAAAAGGGTATACTCTATTCGTATGGATATATGTATAGTACTCTTATGTAGCAGGCACAGGCTAGCGCTTCCTTTCCCAAGACCCTCCAATGAAATACAGGGAAATAGTTTCGAAAAATGTACAATTTAAAATGTAAAATTACTTGTTATTCTTCGTCCTTATTCGCCGGAAAAATCGGACATCACTAAATCAATTAAATGTACGTGTTTTTGCCTCCCTTCATCTGTGCGAAATGGATTTTAATGCTCCGCATGCAGGTTTTAATAAGATTAAATGCACTGACTGCCCCCTCAAGGCAATGCGGAAATGTGCATCTTATCTGGTAGAGAATCACCGCGCCAAAAAACGTGGCCGGAGCACTCAGTTGTCATGTCGGCAGTGCCAGTGTCCAAATGTGTCTCATCAAAATTGCTCGTGAGTGAGCCGGACCTTGACCCGCAAACTCAGCATATTTCCTCCGTTGTCCGGCAAGTAAATGCATAAAAATGAACGGAATACAACAATATTTATGTACACAGATATGAAACTAGCCAAATCAAACCCACAAGTTGAAATATATAAATGTGTGTGTTTTTTACAGAAAAATTAATGCACCAAATGTGCTGTTAGGGGCAAACGCTTGAGGTATCGGCTGTAACAGCATGGGTATTCCTCTGATTTATTTTCACTCTGGTCCCATTTGATTTGATTAAAAAATATCTTCAATTGCTCAGCTAATTGGATCATAATCAGCTTCTGAAATAATCAATTATTCTAATGGTATACACTTAAAAATTTGTCTTCCAGGTATCGAATTTGTTCTGCATATCGAACCTTTTTTACTATGTTTTAATATTAATCTCTTCGTTTTGTTGAGACACATATCGCGGTAGACGGTCTTTTTGCGAAAAGCTAGCTAATGAGATCCTATGAGACCTATGAGATCCACTTAATTAATCACAAGATACATCATAAGAAAGATGTGGTATGTGCATAAAAAAAGAGTCAAAATTGCTGTTCACTAAAAAAATTGTCAACTTTGAAGTTGACCTAAAGTTCTAAACTAAAAATCCGATTTTTGTTTTCTATCAGTTGCGTTTATTAAAAATATCAACAGCACTCACTTTTTTCTTCATGATGTGGGTGTCTGAATGAAGAATTATCCCTCAATATTATATCTCAAATCGATCGCAACTAGTAACAAAATAAACTAAACGATTAACTCACGACTAAAGGCTGCAGTAAGTAGTTCCACTATCGGCTGACCAGCTGCGATATCCACTTGTTGTGTATTATCCAACACTAGGCACAGTATCGATGAGGCGAGACATAGCCAACATAAAAGGCTGAGTAAATTCTGAAGAAGATGTCCACTGATGTTATAAATCTTTTGATAGAGGAGCAGAAGCAGTGGCTGAGGTATCCGATCCCGGGATGTTTTGCCGGCCCGTCGCAGAACGAGGACGGCACCAAAAACTGGATGGTGTGGAACTGCGTGGTATCAGGGATGAAATCTACGCCGTGGGAGCACGGGCGCTTTCCCGTTCGATTGTATTACAACAATCTGTATCCCGGCTCGCTGCCGCTTGTGCGCTTCGAGTCGAACATATTCCACCCGAACATTGGTCCCACGCGTTACCTGAAGATTCCGAGCCAAGTGCTCGAACCCACATTCCTGGCCCCGAAGATGGATGTCAGGATGATACTACTAGCTATCCAGCATATTCTGGTATATCCGGACCAGAGTCTGAGTGCGCGGGTGAACAAGAAGGCACTTTATTTGTACCAGACCAACCGCCCGCACTACAACTACCGCGTCGCATATGTGGCAAACAAACACGCTGTCACATCGCGAGACGCAGGCACACACATAATAAAAGCAGAAAGGAACGCGGGAACATAGCAATCCCGCATCCCAGCACTCCCCCAACAAAAAATTGATCTTCAGATAAATATCAAAAGTACAACTTTAAGTTAAATAATGTCCACTTAGTATCCACATATGCGGAAGGTCGCATCAGAAAGTAGAGAGGCCGATCCGATCGGAATAAATCGTGTAAGACTGGAATTTTGTTTGGTTTCATTTGATTTGGTTTGGTTGCATGGCTCTCTTATTTTTATTTATTTGTGCTGGACGTTTTGTTTGAAATTTGTTCTTTTTTTTTTATTTATTTCTTCTGTGTTCGTCTGTTGCACAATTGGAGTTGCAACAAACAGCGGCAGTTGAGGCAACAAAGTTTGGACAAAAGCGCTTGAATGAAGTGTGTGAAGTGGCTCGAAATGGGGTTGTGGATGGGGCAGGAAGGGGATTTGAGTGGAGCGGAGTCCAAGTTGAACAATTAAACTTTTGGCCCACCGGCAGCAGCCAACGGGACAGCAGAGAGGACTGCAATGGACTGAACTGAACTGAGCTGGATTTGGCGGTGGCTGCAACGTTTTGCTGCACTTTTACACATTCCCAGAGCCAGACCTATGTACATATGTACATATATCCACATATCCACACACCATGGCCGACCATGGAGAGCCCAAGTTTTAGTTGAGTGGGTAAACCCAAAACAAATTTTGACTCCATTGAGTTTTTATCTCTTGCCTTCTTTGTCCAAACTTTCTTCCTGGTCTCCCACTCCTCACTTGTTCTCTCGCAATTTTTTTGTATTTTTCCCAAATTGAATTGTTAAGCGTGTGGGCGTGTACGTGGGCGTATTTGAGTATCTGTTTTTCTTATTTTTTTTTTTTTTTTTTTTTGCTTTGCGCTTTACAGATAATATTATTCGAAAAAAGTTTTGGTGCGTGACTAAGCGCTGAAAATGTTGTCTGAGCACTTCTCTCTCGCTCTCTCACTCTCTCACTCTCGCTGTCTCATTTTTGTTCTTTTTTTTTGACTGGTTTGAAGAGTTGTTTCAAGTTGCTTGTCCAGAGAAAATTTTACGGTTACTTTATATGATTTTGCCAGATGTTCATCCATATGTATGGGGCTACGATTCTGGGAAAAATGTTAAGGAGTTGAAGTACACGTGGACTTGCAACTGTCCGGCAATCTTTTCCAAGTCTGGTCTACTTTCTGGCCTACATCCAAAATCGACCATTGACCCTTCTGTTCTTTATCAGTCCGTGGAATGTTGCCTTTAAGTGTTCATTGATTTCAATGTATTTCTAATTATAAAGTGCGTATCGATATGACAGCCTAAAAATCTTTAACCAATTTGAAGTGAGAAAATCCCTTGAGCTAAAGAATCCGAAAATCCTTGAGTTATTCATCAGGCTCATTTAATTAAAGTTCCTTCATGGGGATCTGGGCCGAAGTTAATGAAAACTACACACACACACACACAGCATGGGACCTGGATGACCATTTTCATATCCTTGCAAGGGGTATAATGACATGCAGGAAGCTCTTGCGACACTTTTCGGTATTTATATGTAGATACTTGGCGGATGACGACGATGACCCAAAATTTATTTATATAATAAAAATAGACAGATATAGTTAAGGGCTTCGAAGATCGTATATATGTATATATCACTACATCAGTACGAATGTATATGTCATAAATCGATCATAGAAGGGTAGTAGGGTAGCGATCGACGGTAGGGTGTGTAGATCTCCGGCTTTGAACTGTCCATCGTTTCTTAGTTAGTTGCTGAAATCGAGACAACAACTTCATGTGATGGGTGTGCAAACAAATTGAGGAATGCAACAACTACAAAGCAACAGCAACAATCGGAAGAACTAAAAGAGCAAGAACAACAAGGAAAAGGACATTAAAATGTATGACCCAAGGCCCAGGGCGGCCCTAGTGGAAGCTAAATAGATTGTCCTACCCACCCAGACAGACAGACAGATGGGCAGACAGACAGACAGACAGGCAGGAAGAGAGATGGCGAGAGGTTCGTGATGAAGAAGGTGAGGTCGAGTTGGACAAGGAGCAAAAGGCGGATGAGGGTTAGGTGCTGATGAGCAGACAATGGGCCAAAAGTGCTGAATATGCCTTACAGGTCATCAGGTGACCCCCAACCACACAGTCCTGGTCTCCTCTGCTCATTTCAGTTCATCAGCCCACTTAAGAGAAGTGACAGAGAGGAGGGACGAAGGCGGAGAGGCCAAGTCGGAAAGAGTGCGAAAGAGTGGAGCGAAGAGAGGGAAGTGGAGCAGTGAACATTGATGTATATCCTCACTCGGGGCTAATTGAATGGAAAAGGTGTCCCACCTCCCCTTTCGGTGTCCCTTTTCCACAGTCCCCCTTTTATGACCGTTTTCCTCAGCATATTTTCCCACCTCCACCCGCATTTCATCCCCAAAAACCAATTTAGTTAGCACCTGGAAAATTTGATTAGCTTCCAACCCATGGATGCTGTCTGTGTGCCTGTGTGCTTGGGATAATAATTCGTAAATGTTGCATGTAACCCGTTCGCCATATGCATTTATGCATTTATAATTGCCCAGACAAACGGTTTATCAACCGCCAAATACCCACAGCACCACAGCGTCCCCCCGGCTACTCTTTCAAAGCAACTCTTTCAACTAGCAGCACATTTCGATACAAATACACACATACATACACATGTACATGTATGTATGTATGTATTTGAAAATTCATTGGATTTTTCAGTCGGCATGTCTGCACACGGGCATTATAATTTGTGTGTGGCTTTTCATTTTTAATGTCCAACGAGCGGGCATTGAAATTGTTTTCGGCCTGCAAAAATATGTGTTCGCTAAAAGGGGGATGGAAAAATACAATGCAGTCCATTTCGAACTGTTCCACTAGTTTCGATCCAAAACCATTTTTAAATCAAATTCGATAAGAGTGCAAATACTTGATCGATACTGCGGAGTAAGTATCGAGTATTTCGTACAATGCAATAACACTGTAAACTTGGCGAGTACTTTGCGTGTGTCCCGCCTTCCAGCACAGTTTCCAACACTCTACAAACAGAAAAAATAGTCTCAGGCATTATGCAATTATACAAGGTGGTCTCGTCGGGAGCCGTAGTTCGTTCGTGTTGTCCGTTATCGTCAGTGCATGCTTGCCTGTTGATGATGAAGGTTTTTCACGGACGAATTTTTTAAAATATATTCTTAACCCTTATGTCCCGACAACAAAAAAATTACATATTGCATAATATATAAATAGCACAGAATTAGCAGTAATATTTATATATTATGTAAAAGAACATTTTAATATAACTAAAAATGTTGAAGACAAATTATTAATGGCTGCATACAATTTAAATATTAATATGTCAGTAAAATCATTTTATTTTAAAATTTAAGCCCCACGGGCCTGTAAAGGGTTAATCAACATCAACATATGCCGTCTCACTCAGACTCACTATACTATGTGCCTTTCACTCGCACTTATTGCTAGCATACGTTAAGGGACTGACTTTTGCCGACGAGACCACTTTGTAAAATTGCATCATGGTCAAACGAAAGAGGTTCCATGGCCATATTCCGATCCAAAACCATCTTTAAATCAAATTCGATAAGAGTACAAATTCTTGATCGATACTGCGGAGTAAGTATCGATTATTTCGTACAATGCAATAACACTGTAAACTTGGCGAGTACTTTGTGTGTGTCCCGCCTTCCAACACTCTACGTACAATAAAAATAGCCGCAAGTACCAGATGTTCGTGGACGACATTCTGCAAATGATGGAGAGGCTGAAGGAGCGGCTTTCAAGAGGATACTGTTGTATCTGCAATCGATAGTGGAGAGGCGAATGCTGTCTGTAAAATAAAGTGAAATCTGGCCGATGCACGCCACATGGAGCAACTTTGAACGACTCCGATTGCCATTTGCAGGCGACATGTATTTCTTATTTCTGATGCATATGGTACGGTAAACGTTTCCAAAATCTCCGAGTTGGCAGGTAGACGGATGGAATATCTACTAACTTTACGTGCTGCATACGCACATGATAATTGCTTTATAAATTACCCAAGTCCGTGGCCCAGCGGACATTGCCAACGTCACGAGCTCGTAAATCAGAACGTGTCGAAAGGAGGATTCACGAGTTCGATTATGTGATCCTTCCTCGAGCTTACTTTTCGTTGGATAGAAGTCTATAAGATGTCCAAAAAATACTACCCTAAGCGCATGCGCAACCATGATGAATCGCCCTAAGCAGATCTCTCAGGATTCTATGATAAGCGGCTAGTTCTGTCCATTTCGAATCATATTGTAGCAGCCATGGTCCGCAGAGGTCCACAAAGATGTAAATTCCTTCAACCATGAAATGAAACTAGAGGAATGACTGGAGTAATAATTCTCGGAAGCTTATGGTATTTTTTATAAATATAATATTACTTACTACCGCTAAAAGTATTTTTGTATTGCAGTCACAAAGTGCTTACCCAATGGATTTACTAACCAGATGCACTGTCCCACAAACCGAAAATGATTAATGATTCTTAACAATTGACTGGACAGAAATGTTGATACCATGATCTTGATTATAAACTCGAGTAGCAACTCAATCCTGCATCGAGCTTTAATTAACAGATGAATACATGAGCAAATGATTGTGTCCTTTAGAACCGCAATCGGGATGCTGGGCTGTAGCATGACGAAGTGAAATGAAGAAAGAGTCTGTCTCCCGATTAAATTTGATTGTCAAATTTGAATGGGTTTTTCAGTCTTTCACGAATCTGTGTCTCTCTGTGTGCTCTTCAAATCCGATTATGCGAACGAGACGCGTTCCATCCGCGAATTACATTTGAGGGACATAAAATGCAACATTATTCTTGTGGCCGTTGACGTTGGAGAGGAGTCTCCTTCCTCGCTGCTGGCCACTGCCATTCCGTATAAGCCACATAATATTACCCCACTGTCACAGACCATTCCAGACCAGAGCGACAACCCTTCACATGGATGTCCAGCAGGCGGCCAGAGGATATACATATCAGACAGCAAAAAAATTTCGTCCGCCGGCATTTGTCGGATGAAGGTGGGGTCGGGGCATGGGCTACGGGATCTGCTGGAGGGGCTGAAGCTATAAAATACGCGAGCTTTTATTTATAACGACATCAGAAATTAATCTTGCATTATGTCTGCGCGTGTGGAACTCCACCTCCGCCTGCTCGTTTGCCCGCTCCTTTCAGCTTATCCTTTTCATGAAGTTTGTCGTACAGGCTAACACATACTTATACACCTGCTTACCTTCCCCATATTCACCCAGGCGACCAAAGCGTCAGTTCTGTAATGGTAAAAGGACAGGAATGAGCATTCAAAGGAAACAAAGATGAGCTAGTGGCCCTGCTGTTGATCCTGGCAGCGCATATGCTTCTCTTACTCAGTTACTCAGGTCTTAGATGAAGGTGGGCGCTCCTCGATTACGTCTCGGCCAGCATTTGGATGGTATCCGATATTCGGAGTAGCCAGGAATGGCGCCATAAATGCCCGCAGTTTCTGTGTTCAAGTTTGTTAAGTTAATCTCCATTAGATAGATGTTTAACAGATGCTCTTTATGGTATCCATATATAAGCACCTGTGCTAGTTTGACCTGGAGGTCGGTTCTGAAATACAGAAGAAATGTGGTATTATTCCTCCTCTTTTGATAGTCCAGTTATTCTATGATCTACCATTTCGATCTACCATTTGCAAAAAACTTTTGTCTGGTGTGTGCGTATGCGTTTGTTGGCTGGCATCCATTATACCATTCCTCGTTTGTCAGACATGTGAGGCAATATCGCTTCATCTCCATCTTCCAGGTAGGTGGCCCATCTCCTTCGCTTCATCGTTTTTTCGTGCTCCTTGACATGTCGTGCGGCTCCGGGCCCGTGTCCGGGGTTGTTCATGAAAAATTACAACTCTCAGCATCAGCCGTAACGTGCGATAAATTCCATGAGGCACGGAGGCACATCTACACACATTTGTATCTCTGTGTTCTGGTTGATTTTTGAAACTCCTGTGCGTGTAGGATAATTCATTGCTTATTATCTTTTTTTGGAGCTGCAATTTTTGGGGCTTACCTTTCTTATTACTTCTGATTCTGTGCTCCCTCAGCTATATCTTTTTGTGCGTGGGTTGGGTGGATCTGGGTGGATCTGGGTGGGGTAGAGTAGCGGTAGATAGCAAAATGCTTTATTAATTTAGTGTGTGCCAGGGCAGGACTATCAAGATGGGGGCCCACACAGGCCACAGGCGAGGAGACGGTCGGCTGGCCGGGTGGACCGGGTGGAGAGGGTGAAAGCGTGTTAGCCAGACAATCGAGCCTAATGATTTATGAACTAGGCGCTGAGCATAGCCGCAAGGATATATAGCCATGGCCAGGTCCTGGCCCTGCTCCTGCTTCTCAGCCTGCGCCTGGCCATGGGCATGGGCTCTCTGCCAATTTTCCTTTGCCTTGGTCTGCTCTGCCTTTAGTGTGGCCGTGGTCTCTGTGGCGGCGTCTTCCCTGGATGCCCTGGATGATATATGATGCTGTAGTTTACCGACTGCTTAAATGAATTTTTCACACTGCAACCATTCCATGCTGTTGACTCGGAACAAAAGTCACCCAAAGTGCTGCTGGCTGCATGAAGAACGTACAAAACATACCGGAAAAAACGATGAGACTGCCATGATCAAAACGGTAACAATTACGGGTGTTTCTCTCTAAATGCAAACAGGCTTCAAGGGGCCCATGAGTGTGCGGATGACAATAGTTATTAAGACACACATATGTATGCATGCATATGTCAATTCCAAGAAAGTTCTGGAATGAAACGGTATTTTATTAGCTTATTCCTCTTTTGAGGCGTTTACTGAAGTGCGTGATCGGCCAAAGAACTCCAGTGCTTCCACGGTACCTGCTATAGACAACAATCGTATTAATTAGCCCAAAGCTCCGAAAAAATTGGTTTACGGCGCAACTTTGAGCTGCTACTAGTAAACTATCGATAAGTATGCAGTGCTCTATAGCACAATTTTGTGGTAGTACTGGAAAATGTCACTTAGAATTAGAATTTAAAAAAATAAGAACATAAGCTAAATATGTCTGAATACGCACTAAATCGCTTAATCGAAGAGCGTAAGCAATGGCAACAGCTACCATTGTACGGTTTTACTGCCCGTCCAACGAAACTGATTGATGGCTCCGTGGACTATATGACTTGGGATTGCATCGTACCGGTCGAGAGAGGAATGCCACCGACTTGCCTCCGCTATTGCGTGCAGCTGAGTTTTGACATCCACTACCCGGCATCCATGCCGAAGGTGCTCTTCGAGTATCCCATTTTGCACCCGAACGTGGACTGGATGGGCTACATGACTATGCCGGACTTCAACCCGGACATGCCGAGCACTTCGCTCAGCATTGAGAAGATTCTTTTGACCGTGCAGAGCATGATTGACAAACCGAACATGAACGATTTTACCAAGGAGCAGATCGAATACTGGTTTGCTGTCGACCCCGATTTTTTCCATGTTGAAATGGAAATGAAGGCAGTTGTGATTGCAGAAGCTGATTCGTCGACGCCAAACCACAAGCGGGATGACGAGGACATGCCGGAACAGAAGATGAATCAAATATCGGAATCCAAAAATATACTGATGACACAGATGCAAATCAACAATTGAACACATAGATAAATAACTAAAATACACATGCATCTAAATTGTATTATCAGTTAGCAATGCACAATATATGATTTTGTTGGCACTGCATTTACCTTGACAATTAATGGGATGCCCTTTTCGCTGAGTCATTGCCGAACCATAACCTACCTCATACTTTATACAGTAAAACCGAGGGAAGGGAACTAAAACTTTTGCAAATGTCATGCAGGTGATAGAGTGGCTGCCATCCTTGCTGCATAGCACAAGCAAAAAATCCTGGGACTGCGAGTGGGAGGAGGAGGGGGAGGGGGAGGGGGATTGGTGGGCAGTGTGGGCAGTGTGGGCACAAGCTTAGACGTGCACTTGGACGAAACGCTTTTGCCGGTCAACTGGAAAAAGGGATGCGGTGCTACATTGGGCATGGGTGTGGTGCCAGTTTTTGTCAAATCAAGTGGCCACTTATTTCAGGGCGTCGTCATTAGCTTTCAACTTTTGCAAATTGAATTTGGGAACGTTCAGGATGTCAGGCCAGCTAAGCGAATGGATGCAGAATGGATGCCTCGACTTGGCGCTGCCCGTCCTTCTCTCTCTTTTTCCACGTACACCTCCAGCTCCAGCTCCACCTCTAGCTCCAGCTCCATCCCTGCCTCTTTCTCTCTCCGGTACATACTACAGTCAGCTCGCCCGAAAATAGCAGTCCCAGTGCTATTATTCTCTTGAGTAGAGACCCATCTCGTTGGAAGCTTCCTTGCCTTGGAAGGGGAAAGCAGGCGCTCCCTCCCCACTTGGGAGTTGTTTCATGTTTTTAAGTTCACTTTAAGTAGCTCAAAGTTAGTTTTTATGCTCGGCACACGCAAAACTTGGCTATCAGTTGATAAATAGCTGAAAAGGCTTTAAAGTCACCATCCTGCCCCCGGCCATCCTCCTTGTGTCACCATCGACCATGGTTTTAATGAAGCATTCGGCGTGCCAAGGCGCCCGAATTAGCTGGGATCTCGAGACTGTCACTGGCACTGGCACTGGCACTGGCACTGGGACTCAGCTAAGTGCTGAGCTGCTTAAACGGCTTTGTACATAAGTATGCATGTATATCCATACGTAATACCTATATATACATAAATATGTATGCCTGCAGGCAGAGCATATAAATAAGTTAGACCGTCTACATGGATTCTTCATGGCAAGCATAATATGCGCACAAAAAGTTGGATATTCTCTAAAAAATGTATACAAGAACGTATGTCTACAGTACACACAAAGACATAATAAATATACGAGAAAGTTTCCATGCTGGTGAGCCCCGTAGCAACAGTCTGGGATGTGTTTTCTTCGGGCTTCTCAGATACTATTGGCTTTTCTTTCGCTCAATAATAAAACCATCATTAGTACTTTCGTGGACTTATTGGAAGTGCATCCACTCCATCCACTTTCTCTGTATCCAACCAATGCGAAAAGTGTATGCAGCAGCGGAGACCTTGAATGAGATAAATTCTTAGTTAAATGAAAACAATTTGGCTTCACGTATCTAAAATTACCTGCATTTTTAGAGGTGGGTACATATCGAGGGGCATTCTGCAATAAAGATATGCATAATTGCAGTTAGTTATCTGTTGACTTCATTGAAACCACATGCTAAACTTACCTGTATGGTACAATCACTCTTGTGTTTTAAGAACATTCATTCTCTCGGGTGTATTCGATTGTAGGCCTTGGTCCGTCCCGTGTAGAGCCGCTTCTGCCTCCGAAATCGTCAGAGCCTGATGACGCGCCTGGAAATAATACAAATCGGGGTTTGAAATATAACAATGATGGACTTCCGTATGCATCGCATCACTCAAGTCCGGATGGGCGTGAGCATGAGCTGTATGCTGAGACCCACCAGGTTCCTGCGCTGCAGCGTCATGTGGCCCCAGAGTATGTTGGCAGATGAAAGCAAGTGTGTTCCCATGGCCTATTGTCTTCGCCTGGAACGGTGCACTTCCAGATTAGATAATTTGGCTTTGGTTGCGGTTTTCCATACTGCCTTTTCTTAGGGCAGGCCGTAAAACCGCACAGCGGGCTCTTGCGGCACAACGAGAGCTGCTCCATCAAATGGTCAACAAATGTCATAGTTTTCTTTACTTTAGTTTCAATTTTCTCGACGACTTTCTCCACTAAAACAGTTCATTGTGAAATTGACATTTCTGCTCAGCTGCATGAGCCTTCGGAATATTATTTAATAAATTATAATTGCAAATTTTTCCACGCTTTGTCCAAGAACATTTCCAACACTACGACACCACAACCAGATGCCGCATTTAAACGATATACCGTCAGCCGATAGTTGATCTAGTTCATGCAGCTTTTATTTGGTAATTTGTTTATTGCATTTATTGTTTATTTTATTTTATTGCATATAGCACATTCCCACAAAATCTTATTTTCTGTACATCTTTTTGTATTTATTTTTGAATATCTGTTTAGAATGTTCAGTGTTTGCGGTAACCCCAACTCAAGTGGTAGTCAGTATTTTTTCCACCATTCCTGTTACATCAGCAGCAGCAGAGCGTTGCCAATCGGATCTGGGATCAAGAGGCGGCCAACACGTCAAAGACCACTTCGAGAGTTTTTTAACTTGACGCCAGTTTTGAATGAGACAAGCAACGGGGGGCTGTCCCAAATGTTGGAGGAGGATTAACCAAAAAATACTGTTCAATCGGAAAATTATATAAATGAATATTCAAATGATCTCTTATACCTCTTCGCCAATGATGCTCTTGGAGCTTTTCGGCTCCGGTTCCGCCTCCGGCTCCGTCTCCGGCTCCAGTTGTTTGACACTGGAACTCTTTTGGTATTCATGGCATTCATGGCAGCGCTTGTTGTTGCCTGTTTGTGGAGTAAACCAAACCAACGAAATCTGAAAGCAGCTCAAAAGAGGGGGAAATAAAATAAAATATAGCAATGTTGAGCAGAATCAAGGATTCAGCTCAAAGGCAGGACCAAGGCAGCAGACAAGGCAACAGACAAGCCAGAACAACAAAAACAATGACAAGATATTCCCAAGATACATATATATATATATATATGTATGTATGTACTATATGTATATATGTAAGTGTACGCATAGGGAAGCCGAAAGAGCTGACAGATTTATTACACTGTCAAACAGAAGTTTGATATATGAACTGGAATCATTTAATCATATTGCGTTTTTCATTCGCAAATTGATTGAGGCATCCGAACATTGTCTCCGATCTCTAGAGAATTTATTGAAGGAATCTCCTCTTACTGTACTTACATATATCTCGATGATTGACAAACGAAATACTCGGTATTGAAAAAACGAAAAAAAAAACTCCGTAGATACTCGAAAAAATGCCAAAAAATATCTGTGATATAATGAAATCAAATCAATCTCAATATCTGGGTTTGAGTTGCCCACACATACAGACACACGACGGATACACACACAGCCAGGCACAGTGGTGCTTCCTATGTATTTTCTATCTCCCCGAAGAAGAGGCATCCACATTTTGTGGGTCAGTGTGTGGCTTTGGGAAAATCTGTGTAGGAAACCGAAACTTGTCCAGTTGCTATAAATACAAATTGGATAAAATTGCAGTGCGTGCCGAAAAATAAGAAGATGCCCAAGCCGGGCACAGGCACAGGCACAGGAGCAGGAGCAGGAGCAGCACAACCACTCGTGCCCTCCTAAAAGAGAAAAGAGGGATCAGATTAAGACACTGGAATGCGGAACGTGGCCAATATGCTGCTCCTCTTTGGCAATTGAGGTTTTTGCTTTCTGCTTTCTGCCATCTAACATCCCCCTACCATCATTACCATCATCGAGCTGGAATTTTTCGCAAGCTGGCGAACAGCTCTGGCACGCTACAACAGTTGGTTGTCCTGGGCGATGATGACAGATGGAGATATACAAGGAGTAGGGTGAGTAGCTGGTGGCAGGGGCAGTGGCAGGGGCAGGGGCAGGGGCCTCTGCTAACTAATTAAAGTGCGTACATGTGCCACGCCACCGCTCTCGCACGAGTATCCAGAGATCTGCCCCAATTCAGTTGTTTGGGGGACATTTTTGGAAATTTTACAAATTAATTTCATGTTTGAAGCAAATTCGTAAACAAGTCTTAATGTGCACTAAAGCGTGTATTTCCAAGGGTGCTGTCTTAGAGGCGGGGTCGGGCCATGGGCATGGGCATGGGCATGGGCATGGGCATGGCATTGCCTAACCACCCATCTAATAATGTCGGGCGCCCGCCAGACATGAATTTAGCATTTATCTAGCGCCACTTGAACAAAGTTCTCGTCCTCGTCCTCCTCGTCCTCGTGCTCAGCGTTGGCATTGGCGTTGGCGTAGGCGTAGGCGTAGGCGCCCCCATCGGTGGTGCCGTGCCTACTTCTTGGCTGACAATGAAGATGGAGATGGTGGCGGCGGCACAAATTTTAGGGGATGAGGAGTAGGGGACTGCCTTGGTGTGTGGTGGGGTGCTGCTTGGTGGCCTGGTGTCCTGGTGGCTTGGGGTTGAGCTAATTTCAACGCCTCTTAAGCGCACAGTGGTTGCACACAGCTTGGCCGTCTATCTGTCTGTCTGCCTGAAGTGTGGCAAAGTCAAGGAGCGCCGCGGCTAGAAGTCCCTGCTGGGGGACAGAGCCCACAAAAGAATACTTTAACATTGTTACGGATATATTCCGACTTTTGAATACACCAGCATAGACAATGCCTCTGGGGGGTCTTCATTTGGGGCATATGTACTTTCGCGCCAAAGGAACTTTTTCGAAAATTTAATTGAAAGTGAGGTTAAGCTGCTGTTCAAATTGTTCACTCACAAAGGAATATTTATAGAAATAGCAAGTGTCTTAAGTCAGTAAAAAGGAGATTTCCGGGTCGAGTCCGAAGTTATCCAGCCTCCTTCTCCGCCACATAATCGTATTGCAATCGTAGACAATTTTTGCACAAAATAAATCCAAAATGCTGCACAATTTTTTAAGGGATCTAAATTTTAATTAGAACATTTCTTCCCCATTAAATGGGGTCTGTCATTTTTGTAACAGCTCTCATACCAGTGTGCACTTGATTTTGGTTCCATGGGCTTGTCAACAGATTCTCCTCTCGAGTGGCGGGGACTTCTTTCATGGCTTTCATGGCCAGTAATTGTCGTTGTTTTTTGTTCTTGTTGCTGTTGTTGCTTTAGATGTGACGGGGCAGGTTTTTGCCATTTTGCCAGAGCCATGTTCGAATTTGTTTCAATTCCAGGCCAGTCATCAGCTCCATCTCCATCTCCATCTCCAACTCCAGCGCCATCCAGCGACACGTACGAGGCATGAAGTCATGCCAGCGCCAGTGCCAATGCCAGGGACCCAGCTAGGGCTAAGGGCATGTCGATGGAGATGGAGATGGTGCCGATGCTGATGGTGGTGGTGGTGGAGCAGTCATGGGAGCTGCTTTTGGTGGCCAGTCAAGAGTGAAACAGCGCTGTTAATATAAAGTAGGTAATTGAGATGGAAAGTGAACGAGGAGCGGGGACGACGGCTTCTGCTGCTGCCCCCTGCTTTTACCTCTGGCTCTGCCTCGAACTTGATCAAATTAATCAACTACAGTGGACGCCACGTTCTGCTTCTGCTCCGGCTCCGGCTCCTTCTACTTCTACTTATACTTATACTTCTCTGTGTTGTTGCTCTCTTTTTCGCCGTGCTGATTCAGCATTCTGGCTATAAAATCATGCGTGGGTCTGTAGACAATGAATGCACATAAAAATAATAATTGGAATTGGAAATGAAAACAATTTTCATGGCCTCCGGCTCGACTCGCCTCGACTCCCTTTGGTTCTTGCCCACATGATGTGGCACAAAAACTTCAACAGCAAAAGAGAAAGCCATATTTGTGAGCTTGGCTGTGTATGTGTGTGTTGGTGGCATCATAATTCCAATTCCAATTCCAATTGTGTGCAGGTGCTGGCCCCTGAACTTTTCCACTTTTCCACTTTTCCTCTTTCTATTGTGGAAATTCCCAGCCATATCCCGTTTGACCTTATCGACTTTTGTAAGCCTCGGCACAATTATCGCCCCATGACACGGGCGAACTCGGGGGAACGCGGGAGAGGGACTCTCCAGCCAAATCGAGTGTGGGACCATTTCAATGCTCTGCAGAAGCCAGTCGAGCCCGTAATGCGCTTATCAGTGTCACCCACACTCACACACTCGCACCGACAGCTCTCCATGCTTCCTTTGCATATGCATGAGCCTTTCACGGCGACCCATGTGGCGTATGCGTAATGTTCGTATATCAGTCTGCCGGGGCAGGGCACCCATGCGGCGTATGGGTAATGTTTGCGTAACCGTCTTCCACTTAGCAAGTGCTTATTTTCAGCTAGAACAAGTAACTGAAAGTAGAAGCAGGAAACAGTCTTTTTGTGGGGTGGAAAACGATTAAGAGAATGATATTCCTCCAACTCTCGGGGTATTCGGGGTGTCCGGGGAGGCGAGGGAGAGGCCTGGTTGGTTCAGCCAATGAGGTTTTTGTCAAAATATGCCTGTGGATTGGGGAAACTCTTATACATAGACAGACCCCCGCTTTCAAGCCTGGGATTTTCCAAAAGTGTCTCCATGAGGCAGCTATAGAGATCACAGGATCCAAGTCCTATGCGGAGACTTTGCCCCCCCAGCCAAGTCCCTGCGTCAAGCCAGGGAATCGAGCATGGGGCATTGGGAAGAGGCACAACACAACACAACACAAAGGCGTAAGCAATCAAAATGAATTTTTATGCCGCATTTTCGCAATGCAGGAGCCGAGTGCCACCTAAAAAAATATGTGTATGTTACCTTTGGACCTATACACTCCATCTCTTGCCCCAGCCGGCAGTCGGAAACGGCCTCGTTGCATTCCTGCAAACGAAACCCAACCAAAGACCGAAACCGAAACCGAAAACCCAACAGAACCGAACACATTTACACATGTAAGTGCATAAAAAATGTTTATGAATTTCAGTTTATGGCGCGTAAAACACGCCAATAAATGTACCAAGGCATTAAAAACGCCTTTCTCCTCGCTACTCGCTACCCGCACCTCGATACTGGGCGCACTCTGGGATCCCGGGTCCCGGTTCCCAGTCCCGGACCCGGTCCCACCCGTTGGACTTTGCCGCACTAATAAACAATCAGAGATGGGCATAAAGTATGGGGAATCGGGCCAGAAATGGCCAAACGGCAAACGACAACGGGGTATTCCCCATATTTTTTTTGCCTCCTGTTTCCCCCAGGCGTTTTTTTTTTCGTTTCTTTCTGCTCCTTTTTGGCCAGAAGGTGTTAGTCGGCCCGTTGGCGCAATTCTTGTGGGCGCATGAATATTTATTCAAAAAATATATATGTATGTACATTTGTACATATGTATGTATATTCTTTATACTTCTGTGTGTGTGTGTGTGTGTGTTTCTGTTTCTGCTGTTTTTCTGTCTGGATGTCTGGGGTTCCTTCTTGTATTGTTCCTCGTGTTCTTGCCTGCGTTCTGCCAAATGCGCTCTAATGCACTTTACGACACTTTATGGCAGCTGTCTGTGGAGAGGGAGAGGGGAGGGAGGGGGAGCCAGGCAAATGTAAATGATGGCAAATTGATGGCAGCACACATATGTGACTTGCCTCCTTGTGGCAGCATACATGCATGTAGGTGGAAAGGTTTCAGTCCAAAAACGTGACTGATTATGGAATCTTTTGGATAGAAATAAGGTTCCATAACGATTAAACTCTCCAATTCCTTTAATATACTTGGTTGTTTATCCTTTGGCTATGCTTTGGTTTAATTGAGAAATTAAATTCCATATATATCAAGCACCGTGGTATTCCCTCGCTTGTTTTAAGGGATGAAATATTTCCCGAACAAATCCTTTCCCTACCTGGAGCCCCCGAACAGTTGGCCCCAATTTCCGGCCCACAAATGACACCAAACATTTGCCGAAATTGCACTTTTTTTTTGCTTGCCTGCCTGCCGGGAACTCTAATGAAAGCCCTGGACAAAGTCCTGTCTCCTGTTTTTGTGTGGGCTCTTGATGCCGCCTGCCGAGCCTTGTCAGGACTCGTTTGGTTCTTCTAGCATTCAAATGGGTCTCTGCGACTTTTTTTATCTTTTTTTTTGGGGTTCGCCCTACTATGCAAATCGAGTGGGCGGGTGGCCGGTCGGTTTCCCCTAGGACTTTCCCCTAGGACTTTCCCCAGTACTTTCCCCAGGACTTTCCCTTGTGCTCATCCCCTTCTTAGCGTCGCCTCAATCTTTGTTTGGTCGGTGCTTCCCCATTCCCTTGGTTGCTTTGGTTTCCTCTTTTTTGAGTACTTAACGCCACGAGGAATCGTCCGAGTCAGCTGAAGCGCAAAAAATGCGAAAAACATGCAGAGAATAAAAAGAGGGAGTGGTCGGGTGGATGGGTGGATGGGTACGGATATAGACAGGATAAGGAGGAAGGACGTGGACAGGGGCACTGCGAGAGAATGGGAAAATGGGTGGCGGCGCGTGTAATCAAAGTGTTTGGCTATCAAAGATTCAGCGGCTTCTCCTTCTCGGCCAGAGAGCAAAAGTTATGCATAAATTTTGGGCACCATCACGACTCGTCCGCCCAGTTTTCCGCCTCTTTGCCAGATCCTTGTGCAGGGCCCACTCCACTCCTTTGCAGGCCAAAATCAATACCGGAAACAAATTAGTTTCGTCTTAAAAGCCGCACAGCATCAAAACAAAATTTCCACAGTCAAAGCAGCCCCAAGAACAAGGCCACAAAAACAGGCGAAAGGACAAGCAAACATGCAATACAAATACATATACTGATGTACATAGTACATATGTACATATGTATTAGAGATGTACGAGAGGAGAGGGGCTCCAACGATCCTAAGTGACATTGTTTGTTGGGTGCCGCAGGAGTAGCGTGAGGCCACAGGCCACTGGCCACAGGACACGACACAGACACAGGCTAAGGCGCAGGCACAGGCACGAGAGTCTCATAATAATAGCCGCACATAAAATTTTATTAGCACGGAGCGTAACAATTCAATTGGGTCATGCTTTATGACGCCTCCGGGCGGAAGGGGAAGCGGAAGTGGACTCCATATTCCCCCAGTCCCTTCCGTAGTCTAAAAAACTGTAAGCCGGGGAAAACGGATAGCCAATTCGGGTCACTCAGGTGCATCAGTGCTCAGAATTTCAAGATCTCAGCTTCAGATCAGACAAAAGACACGAAAGTACATTCAAGGCAAACATCTAAACACATAAATATTTCCATACAATCTATACGAGTACATAAGTGTATTGCAACATTTTTTCTATATTATAGCTTATCGACAGATTGATGGTATTGATGATATTTTCTCAGCTTAAGATCGCAGAATCGTGAGATGATCAGATGGGCCCTACAAGAGACTAGATCAGGACTTTACCGATGGAACTTTCCACAGTTTGGTGCATCTGTTCATCGAGTTCCTTGCCCTTGTGGTACGGACGGAACCTGCAACAGTGGCACTGAGTGCACGGTCAGATGGTTGTCAGTACCATCTGCCATCTGTCGTGTCATTAAGTAAGACAAACATAGACATTTAGGGGAAAAGACGAGCCTCTCTCTTCTTTTTACTATCGGTGCCCAAGATCAGCTGCCACTGATCTAAGAAGAATTTAGAATATGCAAACGAAACCTTTCCATCACAACCCTGGTGCCTTTGGTGTTCGGGGAAAATATAGGAAAAGTTAATCTTCAATGGTAACCAAATACATATGTGGACATGAACATAATACCCGTCGGAGGTACGACGACACTTGATCGAATTATGATTATTTTTTGTCAATGAAATTTGGTATTCTTTCGCCAGAGTAGGGCAAAACTCAATTTGGGGTGAGACTCATTTGTCGCGTGACGAAAGAAGCGAAGCGCAACTGCTGCTGCTGCTCCAATTGGAGGAGCAATTGTCTTACTCTCGCTCCAATTGGATTTCCGTGGATTGGATGTTGCTTCGCTCTTGCTCGTGCTCGTGCTTGTGCTTGTGCTCTTACTCTTCCTCTTGCTCATTGTGTACTCTTGCTCTTGTGTGTTTTACAGTTACGTGTGGAGGAGGACGGCTCGCTTGCTGAGGAGTGAAGGAGAGGGAGACGGCAATAAGACTGAAGCTGGCAAATCCTCACACAAAATGCGTCGAAGAAGCAGCAGTGACAGCGGCAGCTGTCTTATCAGCAAGAAACAACAACAACAGCTGGAGAGGAAGGAGGACCAGCAGACTCGGGCAGAGCAGCGACCGAGACCGCGGCAGCAGGAGCAGCAGCAGCAGCCGCAGGCAGAGAAAGAGCAACGAAAGCAGCAGCAACAAAATCAACGGTTAATCCCGGGCCCCCGCTGCCCGCTGCTGCTGCTGCTGCTAATGCTGCTAATTGTTGGCGAAGCAGTTTACGGTAAGTGCTATGTGAGAGTGAGAGCGGTAGAGCGCGGCAGAGAGGGAGGACACTATCAAGGTATATTTATATATGTATGGTGAAGGGCAGGACCTGATCATACCAAAAATAGACAAGCCTACGGATAGCACAGGCAGCGCGTGCAGAAACTGTACCTCTAGCTTGAAGATCTTTTTAAAATCTATTAATCTTTAATCGGTATGTTTCTTCGTACTTTCAAACGATATGCATAAGCATAAGAGAGTGTCGAGTGCCTCATAGTGGAAAAATATACCTTGGATTAGGTTCGATTGAGTGCGTAGCTGGAGGAGAGTGCTAGCATCTTTACACATGACTGGGAGTTACATCCATGGCGTGGATAAACAGCGTGTACACCCCATTCCACGGTGGGGTGTTGGTGATTCATAAAACATGGCCAGAATGGCCACTGCCCCCCCTCTGTGACCTCATTAGAGGTTCATTTGTTTGCTTATTTATGCAGACACACAGATACACACCCAGATAAACGCTAAGCATACACGACTGGACATATGTAGGTATGCGTATATTGGATCATCCCATCCATGGCATATGGCATTTGTGTGGCCCTTTGTGTTACCAATTTCTGCCACAAGTTGAATGCATTACATTACATTTTCCCTTTTATCCATACAAATTCGAACTCTGCTGGTGTACATTGCCCCAAATAGTATGCTACACAGAAGACAGAAAGCACACATACGCGAAATATACATATGCACATATATATGGGTGTGCGTGTGTGTGTGAGGATGGCTTGGTCTCCGTGCGCTTTTGCCTGTAATTAATTGACTCGCACATTTTTCGCATCAAAAACAAAAAAAAGCAAAAACAAGCCAGAGAAAAACTTTTGCCCAGACAATGTTTTATGCCCCCCTTCCCACCCCAATCCAACCATATGTATATGTATGTGCTTGAGAGTGTATATGTGAGTGAGGGAGTGTGTGTGAGTGCCTTGGAGTACGCCAAGTGTGTGTGTGCCGGCAAAATGGACGACAGTTGGCCGGTGATGCACTGCAGTCAAGGTCGTTAGAGCGAGATGGCATTCGGGCGGTGCTTTTTTATGCTGTCGCGTTTGTGGCAGTCGGCCAAGTTGGTCAACATGGCTCATGCTGTGGGCTCATGCATACACATGTCCATACATACATACATATGGATGCTTGCATATGCATGCACTGGAAGAAAGGAAAGCGGACTCAACACTCATAAAGTAATCTGCCGTCTAATTACTTTCAATTTAAATACTAATATAGGGGATGATTTGGGGTTCCTGATATCACAGCTCTAATTTTTGCTGAGAAATTTTCTCCGAGTGTACATATGTACGTATGTACCTATAGAGACCTGTGTGCATGGCTGTGTTCAATTGGAGTTGAGGCAACTTAATTTGTTGGCTGTTGGATTGCTCCACTTAAAGTCGACTGCCAGTCGATTCGATGCACAACACAAGTGGCTTCTATTGTTATCGATAAGTTTGATTGTTGTGCCGTGTACTTTCGTAATCGATATGTCAATAATTGCTGCCCACTTTGACTGGTGCATTCCTATTGTTCTTGACAGTCTTGACAGTGACCAACATTCAATATGCTCCATGGCACACTTCAATCCCATGTCTAACAAGCCTCAAATATCTTCCGTCCATTGAGTGCTGGAATGCATTCCGATGAAGTGACAAATATGCCACAAACTGCTCCAATACAATGAAACAAGCAGCAATTATGTCCAGAAACTGGAATAGTTTTGGTCTTTGCAAAAGATAATGCCTTCCACAAATTTAATTAATTAATTGAGTGAATAAATGTGGTTAAGGAATTCCTCTGATCTTCGAGAAAACGAAACGAGATATGCTTGAAATGGATTCATTTAATTGATGGATAACGACAGACATAGCGACAGCGAGTAATTCCCTAAATTGCCAGCCAATATTCGTTTCAACAACTGACTGTCTTTGACATTGTCAGAATATTCCTTTGCCCGTTCGCCACTTGTTGTGGGCCAAGGGACATTTTTGGCTTTTAGCAATTCGAGATCCAATATGGGAAAGGTCACTGGTAGCCCGAATTCGTTTGAGGACGCACACAACGAAAAGTAACCCCGTTTTATAGACAAAGGCAAGGGGACCCGAAGGCTCTCAAATGTGAGAGCCGCCAGCAGAGGGACACAGACGTTGGCATGCCACGTGCAGGGACATAGAAATCCAAATAATGTTGCCTTAATTTTAGGGATAATAATTTTACTAATCTCCGCCGCTCCTCCCCAATGCTTCACCACGCCTGGCCGGATCAAAGGGGAGGCAGCTGTTTACGGTCTATCCGTAATTGTAAATTAATGCATGCAGAAAATGTGACCCCACACAAGATGGAGGCCAGCCGGAAGTTGATTCTCGCAAACACAAACACACGCCCGCACACAGACGCATCCATAAGCAGACTCACGCCGATGCCTACGCAGATTGTTTCCTTAATGCCCAATGCGTCAGAGGTAGCAAAGGTCGTATGGGGTCAGAGGAAGCTCGAACAGCTGGAGTTACTTTGAACTTTGCTTGGGAGTATTGCATAAAGAAGTCTTTGTAGAAAACGCCACAGATTACAGATTACATATATGGTAGAAAGGGTATCAATAACGCGTTTCCCATTGAGATTTCCCTTCGCTTTGGTATTTTTCCGTGCTTTCGCTTCGCCAATAATTGAATAATTTTGACATGAAAAATGGCCCAAAAGATTGGGCCCACAGGCTGGGTAGATTGTATGGGCCGGGCAAGGCTGTGCCACACATGGCAATCAAGTGGAAATATTTTGCTTTCGAGCTCCAGGCCCCTCCCAAAAGTGGAAATGCAAAATACAGTAAACCGTTTACAGCTGGGCAAAAAAGAGCCCCAGACAGAGGTCCAATTTCAGCAAATAAACTAGAGATATTATAAATGAAATGCCATTAAATGTTTGCTGAGCAGCCCCAATGCGAATGTATTATTGGGTTTTGTGGCCAAATCGAATTTCATTGCATAATAACGAACTACGGATCTCCAAAAGCCATAATTTAGAGAACATTTTTGCCCCCAGAAGGTGTCTTCACTACTGATAGGGGGGGGTGGGGCACTGGGGAATAGCGTTTATTTATTTGAAATTAGAAACTGCCAACTGCTCCCAAAAGTGGCCATTAATTAAGGGCTACGGACGTCTGGCTACGGGCTGCCTGCTGGGAGAGCTTCTGGGGATTGTGTAATGACTGCAAAATGCTTACAAATAGCCATTTACGAATTTTGAGCTGCCAGCCAGGCAGCCAGCCATCCTTCCCCTCGGCAGACAGAGAGAACAAATGGGAGTGGATTGTCAGAGCTGGATTTGTAAATGATGGTCTCACCTTCTTGCCCGGAATGCGTTTGAGCTGCTCGAGGAGCCGCACCCACACAAATGACAATCAATTTGGCAAAATTGTTTCGCACAGCAGAAGGTGGACATCGTCGTCCTTTACCAAATCAGATCTAAATATATTAGTCCACTCAATAAGGGCCATTTTGGTGTCAATCATTCGGACAACTATCAGTCATCATCAGTCATGGGGTGAGGTTCTGGTATCAGGACGATCATGGTATATTTATCAACCAGTCCATTTTCTTGGAAAAGTAATGTAAAATAAAATTGCTTCCTCGACAACACATTGTTCATTTTTGTTTAGTTAATCTTTTAGCTAGGCTTTTGACTAATCTCTGATTGAGAAGGCACTTGTGTTCATCATTCTGATGGCCAATTAAAGCATCTTTATAATTCCAATAAGACTTTAATTGATATTCTGTTGTGTATATTTTTTGTTTAATTTTTATCTAAATTTTAAATATCATAAAATCATTTTCACATTCTAATCCTCTTTATATTCCTGTTATCATCCGCATCGAGCATCGAAACGATTTTTCATTCAAAAACGAATGTGTGTACATACATATGTATGTATTTATTGGTATTCAATGGGCCACCTCCACACTGGCAAATATTTGTATGCTTGCCAGGGCATTTTTTGTCTTATTGCCTTTCATAATGAAATTTAAGCAGATCTGGCAAATGTTTGCTTAAAGCACTTTTCATGCTTCTGTCACGGCCCGTCGCATTTGGCCATTTGCTCCAAATGTTAGCTGACCCAATTGTGGACGCATTGCCCGTAGGGCTCGAGAGGGCTGGGGATTCCCATCATATCCTATATACCCTTCTCTGTCCCTCTCTCACTCTCTCTGCCTCTGTCTCTGCGGAAACTTGGAGAACTTGAGGGCAAGGAATTGGCTTTGGCTTTGGCTTTATTCAACATTAGCTAATTTGTGTGCGCTTCTTGTTCTCTTTATTTGTTTTTGGGTTCCGTTTCATTCATTTTTTGTTCTTTTTTTGTGCTTTTTTTTGTGTGTTTTTCTCTAATTTCTGCATCTTGCACTTTGCTTTTGCCCTTCCTTTGCTTCCTTCATTTTTTGTCACGACATTTTTTTTTACACTTCCCTCTTGTTTTTGGTCATTCGACTTAAGTGCCATCCTGGATTGTCCTGGCTGCTCCTACCATTGCTCCAGGTCCTTCTGCAGATCCTGCTCCTGCTCCTTCTTCGTCTTCCTCTGCTTCTGCCGCCTGTCTTGACACTGATTTCAATTATAAATTTGTTGTTTTATGTGTGTTTGCTGCCTCCATTCTTTCACTTCTTTTGCCCTTCCCAACATTCTCCAACTTTCCTGGGAACCTGTGTGAGATTTTTTCCTATACTGCGATTGCCCTCTCAATTGGTGCCGCTGCTGCGAGCGCTGTCTGGCCATCACGTTTAATCCAAGTTGGGAACAAAGCCCACCCTCTCTGCTCCCACCTTCCCACCATCTGATACCGCCTCCAACCAACCTGCTGTCTACCTTATTGTCCTCTTTCTAGCTGGGATGTAAGCTCTGTGTTGTGTTGCCTTCTTTTTTTTATTTTTATTAGTTTTGTACATCCCGAGGCATATACCTTCTATATACATA